TTAACGAGATCGGGCTCGCAGTCGCTCACACACACTCCCGTTCCGCCGAAATAACAACACGAATGTAAAGAAGAAAAGGAACAAGGAACGTTTATTAGTTAAGAATACAGAACGCTAAGATAAGAGAAAGAGCAATCGAGAAGAAACGTCCGCGCGCGTCGATAGCTCGCTCTCCAATTCGACGATCTTGTTTACAAACAGAAGAAAGCCTCTTCGTCTCTCGGCAACGCGTGCACTACGCAATGTCACGGGCGACAGCGAAACACGGGCATAACAATATATTTATATATATACTTATATACCCAGCAAACATTATTTCGAAACATTTATGTAACACTTACAGAACAAATGTTCGCTGTTTTGGTAACTACCACGTTATTTTTAGATCAAAATTAGGTAAAAATGTCAGCAACATTATGCTATATCTAATACATCACTATGACAGAATTAAATGATGTAACAGACACGTAATATTTAAGTATAAATATTACGAAACAAAGACGTTACTCAGCAAACATTGTTCTGAAACGTTTACTTACAAAACAAAAATTGCTATTCCAGTAACTACTATGTTATTTTTGTGTCAAGTTTATATAAAAATTTTAGCAACATTATGCCGTATCTAATACATCATTACGACAGAATATAATGATGTAACAGACACGTAATATTTAAGTATAAAAATTATTTAAGTATAAAACGAAACAAAGATGTTTCTCAGCAAACGCTGTTTTATAACATTTACGTAGTATTTATACAACAAATGTTCGCTGATAACGGTCATATTTTTTCAGATCAACTTTTGGTGAAAATATCAACATCATTGTGATTTTAATAATATGATACGTACCAAATGACATTCGAAGTACCTGATAAAATTTTTTTGTGCAAGAATCTGTAAGAAAATTTTATCAGATATATACTTCGAATGTCATTTGGTACGTATCATGTATATCACAATGATGTTGATATTTTCATCTAAAGTTGACCTGAAAAAATGTGATCGTTACCAGAACATTTGTTGTATTAGTATTACATAAATGTTATAGAACAAAATTTTGTCATATAGAAAACTAAATAGTACATACATATAAACATTATAATTAAATGTATATATAAACATATATAAATATATGTATATAAATAATATTATGTGTAAAATATGTCCACAAACATCATTCCATATTTATCTTTATTTATAAAGAAATAAATAGAAAGGAATAGTTGGATTCATGAACAATTTATTTTTACAGATTGCTAAACAAATTTGTAACGATGCACCCCTAATAATGCATCGTACCCGGCATTACATCCGCCGGACGCCGCTGCATCGCAGCGATGAGGGCGCGGTGCGCCCGAACCTTTTTTAAAATGAAAACATAATTCACAGGGACCAACTGACAACGCGCGAAAAGCGAACGAACGCCGCCGATCGCAGTGTCGGCATATGCCAGGAACACCGATCGGCGAGCGCCCGCGAAGCCTACCGGAGGCCGCCGAACTCGCGGCGTTGATCCCCGCTCGCAGCACGTGTTCCCCACTCGTTTCATAACCGGCGGGACTCACGTCCGGAACAAAACGAGTGGGAGCAACAAACGCGTATAAAAGCCGGGATTTCGGTAGCAAATTCAGCTTTTTCTCCGTATCAAGCTCAGAGCCACGTATCCGCTCCAGCTCCTGCTCCTAGCAAAACCGACGATACTAAGACAACCGAGGGGTCGAGTGTTCTCAGTCTCTCTTGGAGAGTTCTCCAAATTAGTGTCGCTCGGATCCTGCACGCGCGTTCAGATCAATCGACGACCAGGGGGTAGAGAGAGGTTCTCTGCCTCCCTCCGGGCGTTCCCGGACGTCCGAGCGACCGACGCACGCGTCCGTATCCATC